TATGAAAAATTCATAGAGAAAGAAACTGTAATAGTAAGCTGGAGTTTGAAGCTGTAACGGATAGAATTCTATTTAAATTATCTCTCTTTGTGAATTAAGAATAAAATTTGTGTTTTACTAAGAAGCTAATTTGTTATTTCCATAAAAACTGCAAAATACGTTACCATAGACACTTATTTCCGTTTTACGAATACGCACAAAAGTACTTTCAGTTTTAATGCATATTTCACAAAAACATTTACAATTAATTACTTTACTTGAACTTCCTGGAAATCATTTATATTCAACAAATTTCTTTAGTTTACAGAGTAATGAATTTGCTTAACTTAATTGAAAACGCACCAAAGTTTTCCAAATAGAGTCTGTCAGACTAAAAATGAATATCTCGTTCTTATTTTCAAACTTAAAATTTTCTGATAATTGCGAAGTAATTAAATTAAAGAATGTCTTGCTCGGTATATTTCTCAAATAAGATTATCCTCGATCGAAACAACGACTGAAAAATTTTCGCTAACTCCGCACTTTGGAATAAGTAAAACTGAATACTTACAACACAGAAATTTTCACTTATCTTTCGATTTTTCAAGTCAGACATCCCCTTTTGGAAGAACTCGCTTGTATGCAGTTTCTTTTCATTTGAAAGCTTATTGCGGCGTTAACCAAGGTTTGTAGCAGCCTGGCTCTCGCGGGATCTGGCCATCGAAGTTCCATCTCCCTTTGTGGGAAATACTGGCCGGGTTAGTCGGAAAAGTCCGTTGGTTCCTATGTTCCATATGTCACAAACGCTAATTCGAAGACTTTTACTGGTTCAATTTCTTCTTTTCAAAGTACTCTTTGAACTTTTCTCTGCTCTGAAGATATCCAGATCAGGTGGAATACTTTCTCAACATCGGGCAATTGCTTGCTAAACCTAATCATTAAAGCAAAAATATCGTCTTGAAGCACACCTTCGTTATATTGTAGTGAGTTTAATAAATTTCCTTTTAGTTGTAGAACATGAAGCGTTGAATACCATCCTAAGCTTAGTGCAACTTCTTTCAGGTCTATACACACCTAAATGGGGTATAAAGTATGAACCAGTCTCATTATTTTTTCATACATGTGCCCTATTTGCTCATACACTGCTAAAAACTCTTCATATAATTTTAAATAACCAGGATCTAAACTCAAACGTTTCCACAAGGCTGTTAATTTTCTTAAAGTAACGCCCTTTGACTCCTCAAGACATGAGATATCTTTCTTTAAAGGCATAGTTACAATATATCCACTCGATTTATTCCTTTTATGAGTGACTTGAAAATGCTCTTCACATATTATGGTTTCTTTACTTTTTACTGTCTCCTTTTCAGCAGTTTCTACTTCCAGAAACTTTTTCATTGTTTGTCCTAAGTCATCTGTTGTTTTCATTAACCCACAATGTATGCGTCTTTGACCCTCTGATGTAACACTTCCCGATACAATAAGCCCAAATACGCTGTTTTGCAAAATAAGACTCGAGTTTTCATAGCGAATCTGTTCTGATTTTAATATTTCAAAGAAAACCTTACCTTATAAAAGCATCTCTATATGTTCTATTACATTAAAATTATCAACTGCTAATTTTATGTTACAAAAATCCTGCATTTTAATATCAATTTTCCTTGAAGGAATAACATCTCCTGCTATTTGTGGCACTAAAAGGTCTAAATTTCTCTCATAACTAGCTTTTATCTTGATTGTTAACACATGCCGTAACTCTTGTTCGAACTGTAAATAAGGAATCATTTAAACCAGAAATTATGATATTTACTTATTACAATGAATTATACATAAACTTTTAATGATTCATTTTTTCAGCAGAAAATGGAGCATCACGTGTCTGATTTTGGTTTCTACTTTTCTGCTCATAATTTTCCAAGCTCGACTTCCATTTTTACTGTTTCTAACTTAATCCGCTCTAAATAATCTTAACGAACTGGCAAGTATGGAAGGACCTGACATAGTCTGTAACAAATTTTTGAAGTTGGAAGGGAAAAAAAGCGCCTCGCGGCATCTTTGCACCATTCTGCTGCGAAGATGGCCTGCAGTAGGTGCATCATGCAGTTCTCATAAAATACTGAGCCTTAAAATGGCTGGGATGAACGGTCTCATTTATTGTTGTAGAATTAAACAAAAGATTATTAAATTATCTCATAATTTGCTGCTTTATTTCTAATGGCCACTATATCCAGATGTTCAAAATTATCTGGGTTTTTATAATAGATATGTCTAAATTCTGGATCAGTTTGTAATTCGGCAATGATAGTTTCACAAGAGTCCAAGGTTTTCGCTGTTAACTTAGTACACTTGATCTCATTGTCTAATTTTATTCGTGATAAAATATTGGCCCCAATGTTTCTTCCTCTGGTGTATGTTTAATTATTAAGTTGTATTCTTGTAGTTTTGAGGCCCATCTAATGAGTCTTCGTGATAAGTTGTTTTCAGAGTGTAACTGTCCCATAACACGATCAGAATAGATTGTCACAGGTGGCTTGCCAAAATATACTTTGAATTTCTGGACCGTTAAAACCAGAGCTAACAATCCCTCTCTGTGGTCATATAATTATGAGTTGACAATTTTACTAAAATAAGCGACCGGCTGACCACTATTCACCAACACAGCACCAACAGCGTAGTCTGAAGCACCAGCTGCTATTTCAAGATTTTAGTCCCCTTAAGAAAATTTTAAAGCTGGCGCTTGTATTAACGCAGTTTTTAACTTTTCAAACGTTGTATTAGTCTCAGCTGAAAAATAAAGCAGTGCTTTTATTTCTTTTTTTAAAAATTTTAGCAGCGGTTTGGCTGTCTATGCAAAGTGCTATATGAATTTTCGATAGTAAGAATACATGGCTATGAATGAGGCCAATTTCTTCGCTGTGTTTGCAGTAAGTAACTTCCAATTGCAATTATTTTAGAATTTTCAGTTTGTATTTTTTAACCTAGGTACCTCACCTCTTTTGCTGCAGATTTACATTTCGCTGCATTCTCTTAATAATATAAAAACTTCATTTAAATGATTCATATGGTCACCATTAGATATTTTCATTAGTCACTGTTGAGGTAAATAAAAGTCGATTTTTTTTTAGAATAGGTCTTAAAATTATGTCAATGATTCTTAGAAAGGTCGCCGGTGTTCCGCACAAGCTGAAAGGTATTCTCAGAAAGGCAGAAGTGCCTGATTTTGTTATAAATGTGGTTTTTGGAACATCTTTGGGTTTCATAGCTGTTTGAAAATACTCCGAAGTACGATTTAATGTGATCGTGTATTTAGTTAATTTTATTTCTTTGTGTTCAGTTAGAGAACCAAGTGGATGGTGTCAGTTTTGTCAACCATATGTCAGTTTTTTCAGAAAAAGTCAAACAAGATAATATTAATTTATATTTTATAATTTCTAATAATAATATAATTAACATGTTTATGAAGCAACTGGGTAAAGTGAAGTTTACTAAAATTTAAGACATTATTTCATTACATTTTTTATTGAATATTTTTGCTGGCTATGAAAGAACAACTATTAAAACAATCACTAAAATGTAAACTTGAATTTGATAAAGGATATAAGTAAAAATTAACCCTGAACACTTTTCTTTAGTTTTTATCTTTTTTACAATTAAATAGCAACAGTAATATTTCTAAGTGAATGGCCAAATTTAACAAAATAAATTGTATTTAATAAATACATGTAAAGAAATGTTTCTGTTGGTTTCACTACAATGACTGTGCTTTTCAACTCTTTTAGACCATGTCTTCCCTCCCCCTAATTCTCCTTGAGTTAATAAAATTTGTTTTAATTATTATTACACTTGTTCCTAAACATTTAAATAGAAACCTACATTATTCACCAGAGCAAATAATTTTTACTAGAAAAGCTTTATTCATCACAAATTTTAAATTTCCAAATGACTCTTTATTAATATAAAAACGTTCCTATGTTTAATTCTCATTCATTCAAAAAATTGTTAAATATTAAGTCTTTATCATATTAAACATAACTAACACATTGCAGACTAATCACAAATGTACTAGTGTTTTGTGTGCCATTTATTATGGATGGATCCCAACATAATTTGTGTTTTCTACATGCTGTCTTTAGATGCTACCTGCTTTGATGTATTCTGTGTACTTTGACTATTTAGGTATTTACATAAGTTGTCAAAGTAATAAACTCTATTTTCATGCTCTTTTGTAATACTCATTTACTGGTTTTGATAGCATTTTAATTCGAAAAATTACTATCTTTGTCGTCATGTTTCTCATGCTTTTAGAATTGAACAAAACTGAAATTTTTGATAATTTATTTATCAGATGTTCCTAGTAAAAATGAAATTGTGGATAACTGTGTAAATAGATAAACAAAGGAACTAAATATAAAATTATAATAAAGGAAGAGAAAAAATAGGTATTACAGGAATAAGAGAGTATTTTTTTGTGTTTGATGTAATAAATTACTTTTTTTGCTCATTAGTGGATTATGTTTGCACGAAGTTTATACTTTCGTCAATATTACAGTTCATAATACGTAGTAATTTCATGCATGCATTGCAAATTGTTTCATAATGTAAAATAATATTTCATATTAAAATGCTGAAAAAGTAAAATAAATATTATAAAAAGTTCATGAGATGTAAACTCATTTATAAATGACAGAAAAGAAAACTTGCTGGGAAAATATGCGATCACTAGGGTAAGTTGGGAGGAAAACATATCTAGTCTTTAATGTGTTAACTAATTGGCCATAAATGATTAAAGTCAGGCCAAATTCAATTGTAAAATTGATGTTGATGTCAAGTAAAAGCTCTATAATTTCAAGATAAGCAAATGCAGATCACTATTCGTTAAAGAACAAAAATATATTTTGCTTTAGAATTTGGTAGAATATTTTTACTAAATTATTACCTTTTTAATGCTAAGTTTTGACTAATTTTGTAACAGTTGGCATATTTCTCATATATCTATAGCAAATGAATAAATAAAGAAGAAATTTTATTTAAGACAAGACAAACGAAAATGTATCTTATTTTATTTTGGCTGAAATTCTACTGCTGCAGTTTAATAAAGCATTTAATTATTCTAAAATTTAAATACACTGTTTTAACATTAAGATCTCAAGAAACTTAATTATTTCATTTGAAAAAGTGTTAAAATTTCATACCATGATACACTGCAAATTTAAATTTACTCCTAATACATCAAATTAAATTTAAAACTAATTTCTTTACAACAGATAAGCAAGGAAAATGCATAACAGCTCTTCATAAAGTTATATATGGTTCTAGACATGAGCAAAGTATATTACATGATTAAATTATCCATTACAACCATTTTTCTCTAATTTTCTAGTAACATGATTCAAATCCCGTTGCAAAACAGGATACTGTGCCTTACTAAGTGAATTCCACAAATAAATAACACTATTCTTGTCAAGCATATATCTGTGCCTGAAAAAGAAAAAAAAAAAAAAAAAAAGAGCAATGTATTAGAAACAAAATTTAAAAATGTTTTCTGCACCTTCTATATTTAAAAAATGAAAATAACTACACATTTTCTAATTAGACATGGGATATGCGTTTTTCAAATATAAAAAATTTTGAAAGATATGAAATTTAAAAATTCAAATGCATTTTTTTTTCTACTGTTTAAATCTTTCAAATCCTAACCTAAAAACTGTTAAGTGTTTGGATTCCAGACTTGGAAAAGACTTTGTATTAACATCCATGTGAAAAATTGATGGATTTGAACCACTAGTTTCACTTCATAAAGGCTCTGAGTGATACATTCTTAAATTTCTAGGTAGAATTTAGCATTCCACATTTAGTGTTTTTTTAAGATAATGTTTCAAAAATGATTCTCTCCTTTCTTTTGATAAATACACCCATTATCTGCTGGCAGTAGTAAATATGGTCTATTTCTGCACCATACATAATTATGCTTACTTATAATTAATAAATTATGTAAATAAAATAATAAAGTATTCTGTACACTATATATACCATGTAATAGTTTATATATCATGCTATTAACTACAGGAATGAAAAATCCACCGATTTCCAAAAGTTCAGGATGCGATGATAAATAAGCAAAAATAGAAAAGTAAAGCTTTGATTAATAAATAATAGCACATGAAGGTAAAAAATGTGTTTATGCAAGAAAGAAAACATGCATTACGGACAAAGATGAAATCAATATTTGGTCTTCATAAATTATATCATCATGTCACATTTGTGCCATTAACAAATTGATGTTTAAAGTTAAAAGCAATCAAACAAAACTTAATAAGGTATGTGACAACACACAAACTTTGCAGTTTGTGCCCATGCTTTCAGTAAGGTGATGAACCATCATAGATGCTAGCATGGGCATTTCTCATTAGGGTAGTTTCAAATTGGCAGGAGAAAATAAACATGCCAAAACACCACATCCGAGGGCATCCCAAATATTTTAATTTGGTTGAATACAACGGCTACTCCCTACTAGAAATGGTTTCACTCACTAGGTACCAATTAACAATGCTGGCTTGATTGCAATAGCATTATCATTTAAAAGGAGGAAATCAGGACCAACTCGTGCAGCAAAGAGTCTCACAATAAGATGCAGTATAAAGCACAGCTGTCACACGACCATCTTTAAAGATTCTCCCCCCCATCATGATGCTGCCACTTCTGAATGTGTGGTATTCTGGGGTCTGATTCCAAGAGCCTTGTTCTCCCTGGACTCTTACAAACTTATCATTGTGTTCCAGGATGTCAATTGGACATTGCACCAATCTGAGACAATCCAAATGAGATGCTGATGACGGTTACATCTGAAAACATCGCGGACAAAAATGTCACAGAGATAACAACGCAAGAAGAAAATGTCGTGGTACAAAACATCATGGGAAGAAACATCGCAAAGAGAAAACATGACAGTTCTAAAATATCGTGGTCGAAAAACTTTGCAGTTTAAAAACATTGTCGTCAAAAATATCGTGTTAAAAAATACAGTACCTACAAATCATCGCATGGTGACATGTTACGTAATGGACTTTTGTCATAACTAACAAATCAACCTCTAAAAACTTTATTACACGCCCATACATGAAAATGTTCATGACACTTTACAGAATAAATGGAAACAAAACAATATATAATTTTCCTTAAAAAAATATCAGATTATCAAATGTGAAAGAAAATAATTTGATGATTAAATAAGCAATTTTTATAGAGGTAACCTCAGGCAGTTATTTATCTTCCTTTTTCTAAGCATTTTTACATTGTATTTTTTATGAAAAATTATCAGTTATTATATAAATAAAAGCTTAATTTATTAATGATTTTTTTAATTAACTATATAAACTTAAAAAATTTTATTAAGCTTTTAAATTGCATTAATTTTCTACTCATTTTCAATTTTTAAATGCCTAAGTTTCCTTCTTATTTTTTCAGCAAAAATTTATTAGTTTGTACAAATATATGAAATATAGAAGTAAAAGAATCCCTCTTTCTTTCTTGCACTATATGATCTTAATACGAATGTGCATTTACAACTTTCAAAACCTGAAAACGCATGTGTGTGATATTATTTTTTATCACGATATTTTTGACAATGACGTTTTTAAACTGTGAAGTTTTTAACCGCTTTATTTTCGACATGATATAAATAAATAAAGTTTCTTCACTGTGAACTGTGATGTTTTCTTCACAATGCTTTGTACCACAATGTTTTCACCTTGCGTTATTTTCTCCGCAATGTTTTCATCCGCTATGTTTTTGCCTCAGCGGACACTGCTGATGACACCCCTTTAATCCTAACCTTCTGGAATGGGCAGCTAATGAAATACAAGCACTTGGTATTTGAGTGTACAGCCCCTTCACATGAAGCCTTCAATACACAGTACAGGCAGATACTGGTTTACAAGGTTCGTGCACCTTTCTACACTTTGAAATTAAAGACGAAATTGAAATTAATGACTTTTCAGTAAAGGGAACTGAATAAACTAAAGCAATTATATATACCCAAACCTCCCTTCTGTAATACCATTCTAAGAATAAAATAAATCTGTAGATAGGATACATTATTATTAAAAATAATCTAATACTTAACATAACTATAAAACAAATTCGAGAATAAAATTAACTTCATAAAATTGATTAGGCAATTAGCATAAAATTACAAAATTCCTTCAAAAGTTACACTTATATTATTTATATTTTACATTTATAATAGTCCCACATATTTTTAAAAAGACTAAAGACATTTCAGTTTTACAAAAAATTAGCTTTATGTTCATTCTTTCTTTTATCCCGCTTCTCATAATGCATTCACTCAGTCTAGAGGTTTATGCAATTTTTATGTCAATTGGTATGGATTAAAATGAGAAGTAAAATTATAACCAGCATGAGTCATTACAAAAGCTATTGCCATTGCTGCTGCTTGCTAAGAGAGAGACGCTGATCAGGACAGACATAAATTCTTGATATTGGTAAGATTGGTATGAGCTGAAAGTTAATTATGCTTTGTCTGTCTGACCCAGTTAGTGTTGTGACTTTGTGTACAGTTGCTCATTATAATCCAGTTAATATACAGTATTTAATATAAAGTTCTAATAAGCTGCTGAAGCACCAGAGGTGGTAAGTTGTTTTATATTATTTTAAGTATCATTCATTAGCTATAAGGAATAAAGTTTTATGTTAATTTTTGTGTTGTATCTAATGTCTACAGTAAGGATTAAGGAAAGACGATAATTCAACTTCACACATAGGGATAACATCTAAGGATGAGCAAAATAGTTACAAATGGTTATATACATAGTTAGATACCCTGAGTCATTATAGATTTACATGGTCACTATTAATTTTCTTTTATTTTTTAAAAGTATATGTTAAAAAAAAAAGCACAATTCAAATCATTATCTAACAACATTTTAGGTTTAAAGTACAGATAATTAGGTATGTAATTTATAATATTTATTATAAAACAATATTAATATAATTAAACATAAAAAGCTAAAAAAGATGTATGTTTTATTGCAGTAACACAGAAACAAAATTTTTATGCATATTTGAAAATTTTCAAGATAATTTGTATAAATTTTCTTCTCTTTAACTTCTTTTTGTTTCAATAAACAAATCACTGTTTCCACTAGTCTCTACTTCAAGCCCTAATTAGTTAATGTTTTAAAAATACACCTTTGAAGAACCATTTTCTTTTTCAATAAAGAATCAGTTCTTTTTCAATATGTTTCATCTACATTTTAGAATTTAAGATTTAATTCAAGATTTTTGTTATTCTAAAGAACTACATGTATTTTGAATGTATAGAAGATGCTAATCCTATTTCTTTAATAATATGAACATAAAGGTAATTTGAAATGATACCAGATTAGGGCTGATTTTAAGGCTAATGTGGTAGAATTTTTAGAAGTTAATGAAGCAATAAGAAACAAAATTTCTAGAATTTAAGGCAGACACTGGACAGCAGAATTTAGAGCCAACAGAGATTGCAACAGGCCACAAAATGCCTTGTGTACAGTGCAGTGAGACATATAAGATGAATATTTTAAACTGCCAGTTTTCAATTACATTATTAATGTAAAAAAATGCTTTCTACAGATGTCTGTACATGTGAAGGTTAGAACTATCTTTTCAAATTTCAATGCTTGTGAAAAGATGAGAAAATAAAGGGAAGACAAACATGTTAAGAAGAAGACTTCTGCAATCAAAAGCAGAAAATTCAAATATTTTTCCCAGTTTCACTTCCAAAAATGTTTCATAAAGTATGAAATTCATTAAAGTAAATGCCATGACAACATCTTTCATTTGGTCCCATTTTTCTGGAATCATAGGTCTATAAATCTTTAACCTTCCAAGGTGCAAACTATCCTTGCCAACTTTGTAGCAGCAAACAGCCAGTGACCACCTGTCAATAACGAGTTGGGCCACCTTTGACGCGCAACACAGCTTCAAACCGCCTTGGCATGGATGCCACAAGTCCTTGATAGATGGCTGGAGACAGATTGTACCAGATGTTGTAGCAACGGTCACGCAAATCCGAGATATTGCGAATTGGTGGTCTTTGACCTCTGAGCTGCCGTCCCATGACATCCCAAATGTGTTCTATTGGATTGAGATCCGGTGAGTTAGGCGGCCAGGACATTAACTGGAAATCAGCATCATGTTCCTGGAACCACTCCAACACAATTGTAGCCTTGTGACACGGGGCGTTGTCCTGTTGGAACATTCCATTTCCAGCTGGAAAAAAAAGAGGCCATGTAAGGGTGTAAGGGTGCAACTGGTCCGCAATGATGTTCAGATACCCTGTAGCATTCATGGTCTGCTCTACCACAACCACGGGTCCCAGAGACGCCCAAGAGAAACGTCCCCCAGAGCATAATACCGCCACCACCACCGGCCTGTGTATGACCTACTGTGCATTGAGGGAGCAACTGTTCGCCTGGAAG